AATGCAAATCCACTAAATGAATTTGTTGAGTTTGTATACATTTTCTCAGGATGATGCATGGTTAAGTTTTCATCCATACCATCATCTCAGTTGAGATTGACATTTCAGTGTTTCTAGTATGTAAGAGATATTGAAGCATTAATGATTTCAGATAAATACATTAAATATAAACATACTTCAATGCTACTAAAATTATAGTTCTGTTATTTTGTTTGCATGCCAGTTGACAATTGACTTGCTCTTAGGTGACATCATTCATTCTTATATGCTTTGGGTATGAGAAAATGATATTTTATCATCGACAACATCAGTTTGTAATGTTGATGCAATAACAGTGCCATTGATTTTTTTTTATTGACATTTCAATATGGTTTCAACAACTGAGGATGCAAAAGTGATACTGACACAACATAATTTTAAATTAATGCAATTAACACTGATGCATCAACACTGACTTTACATTTTGATGGATGGCAATGGTTGCTTGCTGTCTGTGATATTAAATGTGCCATCTAATGAACCATTATAGATTGTTTTGTATAAAAGAACCCCCCCCCACCCCCTCAACATCTATTGTACAGTCATACACATTGTCCATTTGAACAGAAAGGGTATGTACGGGAATTATAAAGACATATACTGTATATGACTACCTGAAAAGGCTGCCCTCTCTCAAACAGCTTGAGTCCAGATTGCTCCTCATTTCCCCATGTCCCATCCTCATAGCTGTTGCACACAACCACATCCTCATCAAAACAAAGACTGTAGTAAAATGCAATTCCAGTTTTGTGCCGTAGACTAAACTCTACTCTGTTGGTGAAAGAAAATGAGAGGACATTTTATTTAAAAAATATATATAATAATTAAAGGACAATCTCACTTTATTGATCAGGAAGATGTGACATTCTAATAGTATTAGAGAATATTCAAGGAAAAAAAAAATAATTGATGAAAAAAGTGATATTGTCAAACCGTTTTGCTTGTGGGGTGATGACTCCTTGGATGATGATGCATTTTGCAGGCTGTACTCCTTCATAGATGATGCTTTTGTACGGGACTGTCTGATTGAGCCAAAGTAATAATATATACAGTATCACATTGCAATATATTAAGTATTTAGTCTGTTGTCAAGCTTTAAAAAATACATTCCAATATGCTTTGAAAACAAAGTCATAAGATATTTAAATCAATCAGTATTAACGACTGAAAATTTCAAATCTGTTTTTAATTGACCCTTGTTTTATGATAATATTCAACATCATGTAGAGCTCTATATAAAACTAGCCAAAAGAAGCCATTTCTCCAAAATGTCTTTGTATTGAATCACAAGTAAGTGTGACCGAGGTAAGAACATTAATAGGTCATGAAATTGCCACAGAGATTCTAAACACTCTAAACACATCTAGACCGTATCATTAAAGATGTGTGGAGATTGTTTGTCTGCCAAATATTTATAATAACTTACCAAAGATCCTGGAAGTGCTGCATGACGGGGCTGTAAAATAAATATAGATATTTAGGACAGGAACACATTTAGTAGAATTCGAAATAAAACAAATACAATTATGTGTGCCATTCTATATATCATAGAAAATATATTCCCTGAAGTGAGTGGTGGATCTGGCTATAGGTGACATTCGTAAGACAGCTCAATATCTACTTCATCACATCCAAATACCTTTAACAATATTAGAGTATTAGAATGTCTGTGCAATAGATTATATTGTGATCTTTCATTTTCAGAGCACGAAAGAAGAAATAAAAAAAAGTCCTGCTTGCACTCATCCCTATAATGACAGTGTATAGTGACCAACTTCAAGCTTTAAAAAATAGTAAACTATGACCTGTAGTAAAATATATTGTCAGGTATTGCTCACTGAATGTCATTAAAGGACAGAAGAATAGAGCAATTAGTAAATAGCTGAACTTGTGAATTTACATTCTAGCTTTCGAAAGACATTCGTTTGTCAGCTAATGTTAGCTAACTTATCTACCTTCTTCCTATATTAGCCTTGCCTCAGTGTACAGTAATACCAGCTGAACTCAGCATGAGGGGCACTGGTATTTCATTTTATCCCGGTTTAAATGGGGAAACAGTATAAAATTAGGAAAATCAGCAACAGTGCATATTGTATTTTTCTACATGTTGTTTTAGATCATGAACATTTTCTAATTACACAGACACTTTACTTTCTCAGACACACATAACAGATCATTTTGTATGTAGTTTTGATTTTCAAATTACATATGACTTTATTTAAAACATTTCTCACATCATATTTTTGTATTTTAATTGGACACGTGATTAGAAAGTATTTGTAAATTTTTTATGCATTTTTTTATTTTTTTATTTCTCACCGCAAGAGAGTGGAAGGTAACTAAACTCAGTTCCACCATTCCAACCACGCAGATGCGATCCACATCTAAGAACGGCATACGGTGCTTGTACTCCGAAAAGGGTTTCCCATTGGCGAGTATCTAAAGGCCAAAACCATTGTCATTATTCTGTTACAGTAAAAAAGGCCTTTTAGTGACAGTTGATGGAAAGATTGTTTTTTTCCATACCTGAAAAAAAGGGAAAAAATCAACTATTTACAGAGAGAAAAGCAAAGTTGAAGTCACCTTGTAAGACTCCTGGGTGATGAGGATCTGCAAAGAAAAGGTCTGGCCTCTTGGGAAGGGAGTTTCAAACTTGTGTTCCTCCCAGCCCCACGTCCCATTCTGGTGGGTGTTGTGCACAACGTACCCAGGGCCAACCCAGAGCATCTGATAGCGAGGGTTAACTTGCAGAGCAACAACCTCAGCCCCGTGTTGGAGGTTCACGTTAAATCTGGAGAAGATGCAATAGAGAGGAGGAGAATAACAGAGAGGTTTTCATGGGCCAATGCGAATAAAGCTAGATTTAAATTAAAAAAGACACGATATTGACGGACCTGACGTTTTATTCTTATCCAAAACAAGATGTGATATGAGTGTGATACATATGGCTACATACATACATTACCAGTCAAAATCTTTTGAATTGTAATAAAGATCCAATAGAAAGATCCAAAGATCAGCATTTATCTGAAAATAAAAGCTTTTGTAACATTATACATATACCATTCAAAAGCTTGGAGTCAGTATAATGTTTTTTTTTTGTTGGCTGTTTTCAACATCATAATAATAATACATGTTTTTTTTAAGCAGCAAATCAGAATATTTGAATGATTTCTGAAGGATCATGTGACTGGAGTAACGATGCTAAAAATTCAGCTTTGAAATCACAGGAATAAATTACATTTTAAAATATTCAAATACCAACAAATGCCAGGGCCGATTTTTTGTCACAGTCCAGCCCTGGCTCTCATGGTGTTTTGTTTATTTGTATGTATATAACACTGTGGTGTTTCTATATATTGATGTGTACCTCAGCTTGCGGTAAAGCTATTGTGATGAACTTTGATTCATCATGTGGTTTTCTTATTTGTGTGTTTGTGGTGGTTGTCGGTGTATTACAAAGGTACAAAACAGATTTTACTACTTCAGTAGGTTGGAATATTAACATTACATCAGTTCATGAAATATAGGATTTTACAGTATATTTAAGTTCAATCCGTAAAACCTAAAATTTTGCTATAATAATTTTTTTGCAACCACATCTGCCAGTATTTTACCATACATTTCTCAGATTTTCTATTTGTTTTTTATTTATTTATTTATTTTTTTTTGTTTGTTTTGTTTTTTTTGTTTTTTACAGTGTAATAAGACATAAAAGTTATATTTTTGGGGAAAGTTCACCTGAAAAAAAAAAAAAAAAAAGCATCATCATTAATTAGGTTAATAAGATAAACAGGATAAAGCGCATACAAAGCAGACTAATCCTCACCTGTCTGCATTCAGCAAAACCCGTCCACATACAGTGATGCTCATCCCATCTTGTAGTCCTCCTCTGATCATACAACTGAATGGGACAACCTGTGTGAAAGATTTTCATACCAGTCATCGGATAAAATGAGTGCTTGTTCATCCTCATACTTGTTTGCAATCATTTTATTATGCCATTACTAAAGAAAATGGTAACAATTCCAGAGTGTTTATTTCCCCCCATGGATCACAGAATGTATAAAAAAAAGTGGGGCCCAGATGGGTTGAAGGGAAGAGACAGAGGGGCATGATGTTGTTCACACACTGAATGAAAAGTGTCACGCCATGACTTTAAATTTCAAAAACAATATTTTCTATGGGTCTACGCACCCAAGTCCCTGTTCAAAATGCACTCGCATGTGTGTTAAATTAAATTGCATTATATTTGTCTCAAATTGTTGTTAAAAAGAACAAGAAATTATATAATTTTTAACTACAAATGTGAGACAGTTTAGTAAATGGCCCTTGAGTGACGTATGCACACAGGGAGCGCACATCGTAGAGCTGGGCCAAAGCTAGCATTTGTAGTTAAAAAGTATAGTTTTAATTAGATTTTTTATTACTTTTTTTTTTCTTCCTGAAAATGACATTGTTTTGCTAGAGATGACTCTTATTTGTCATCTTGGCTTGTAAGGATTAATATGAAGCTACCTAAATATGGATTTTAGAATGTCAAAAATGGTCTACATTTCCTGGAATGTTTTCCTCCAAAACCTTAATTTCAGCTAAAGAAAGAAAGACCTATGCATCTTGGATGGCTTGGGGTGGCATCCAGATAAACTGCATCATCAGAACTGAAACAGGTTGGCAGGTATGCTTATTCTTGAATAATTCATATTGTGATTAAGAGAAATTAAGACTTGCACAGTGAAATTTGAAGTATGATCAATGGCTCAACACATTCTAGACAAAACGTGCACTGAATAAAGGTTCTGATATTCGTTAAAATACATTTTTCTATTAAAAAGACAAAATATGTCAAATGCCAGATATATTAAATATTCTTTTAAAGTGCCCCTATTATGGATTTTTGAAAATCACCTTTCATGCAGTGTGTAATGTAGCTGTATGTGAATGTAAACGGTCTGCAAAGTTGTAAAGTTGAAAGTGCATCATAAAGTTATTGTCTCTCAAATGAAAGAAAGAGTCGACTATGAACCGCTGAAACGAGTCTTTTTCATTTCGAATGCCATTTCCGCAAAGTTCATACGTCATAATTTAATGCATTTGGATAATGCCTGCCTACGTTCTGCGTGGACATCCTGCGAAAACTTGACACGCACACATCAATATTGCATCATTTGTGTCACTCTGAACAACAATGTATTACTGTATTTGCATTATTGTAAGGTTCAGTTTAGGGTTGGGGTAGGTTTAGACATTAACACAATCTAATAGGTGGCAAATTTAATTTATTGTTATTTTCCGGCCATAGCTGTATCCCTTCTAGCCATAACCCAGTTTCTGCGCTACTAGTGTCATCTAGCGGAACTACAGAAATAAAGCATGTTTTCAAACAAACATTGCAAACACCCGTTTCACTCGTTACACGACATCATAAACACAGCACTTACGGGTCTATAAAAGTGAAGGCATGTCTCAGCAGAAAAAAAGTAGGCTACTTTCAATAAAAGGTTCAACCTATTAGGCATTTCAAGAAATGGTCCAACATAAAATGAAAACTTTTATCTTCAAGTGTAGCTTACCTGTGGAGAAGAAACTCTGCAGGTTTGTCGAATCAATTTAAACCCAATCATTTCATCAAATTCCTCCATCTTGTAACAACACTCACAATGTTAAGCCTTGTTTTACCCCATTTCTGTCTCTGTGTGTTTTGGAAAGTCTTTAAATTTTGGCTTGTACTTCTGAAATGGAACCTGAATGTCTTTTTCCACACCAGCTAAACACGTTCAGGCTCAAACCATTGAAAACACGAAGATAAGATAATGAATGTCATGACATTTCTCAAGATATATTCAGGTTTAGCAAACTTGTGATTGCACAAGAATAAAGTAATTTAGCTTTACTAATTTAGGGGTTCAGCTCTGCATTAGTGAAAGTGTTTCAAAGGAATTTCATATAAGGTTAAACTCATCTGAAATATGCAAACTAGACTAATGGAGCGAATTCTCATGCCCAAGTAGCAAACAATTGTTCCAATCCAGTTACAAAGCTGTAGCGAATAAATATTCATACAATGCCCAGCACAATGATATTTTGGGCAGCACTGCAGCAAGAAAAGAGTATTGCAGTCATGTATAATATTAGTCACTTACTGGGTTGATAAATGGGGGTTGCTGCTGATTCAGAGCCATTTTGCCAGATTTTGCTCCCCAGTCTTCAAGTTGTTATACTTGTAAAATGTCTAGCGTCTACAGTGCAGCTATATATGACTGAAGATTCACTAACAGGTTTCAGCTTGTCTGAGTTAATGTTTAACCTCTGTGTTTTTAATTACATGACGTATATAAATGTAGGAATCACTGGCCCACAAACAGGATCTAGACCAGTGAGTGAAAGATTCCTAGATATAATACATAGCTTTTCATTGTACTATAAGATCAATTCAAATAGACTTTGGCACTGTTTGATTGACTTCAATGATAACGAATTGTGTGGCCGAGTTAAATAAAAGTAGACCATCATTTCAAAGTCCAGCTAAGATTTACAATGATTCTTTTGAAGGTTTAGGCCAGACAGTTTTAGACAGCAGAAATAGGTTGGGCACATGCATGTAGAAAAGCCTGTGTTTATTTATTTTTAATTACTATTATCATCAACATCGCAGATGTGGACGACAGTCCCACTGGTATCACCGGTCTCAGATTAACTAACACACACACACACACACACACACACACACACACACACAATGTTTAAATTCTGAGTGTTCATTATGTGGCCCAAGCACTTGCTGCAGTGCTGTACAGTGCTACTGATTGATTGACTTCAATTATAATGAATTGTTCCCCCTAGTCCTAAAAGCGGAGCAGAATTCAGGAACAGATATGTCAATGCCAGCAGGCTGTCATAGGAAAGTCACTAGGTAAACTGCATGTGTTCTTCAAACACACCTTCCATTGTTGGCCTCTGGTAACTTTCACTTTCATGTTTCATGACTCACTCTTGTTTACTTCCTCATACAAATTGTGCATGGTGATTTGGTCAAAAGCTCTTTGTGCTCAAGTGAAAAGCCTTGTGAAAAAAGAAGCTCATTTAGTTGTATGTACTAGATCAGGGGTGTTAACTGCCCGAGAATCATGGGTCTTCTAAATAAATAACCACAGAAAAGGACAGTTTCAAAAAACAAATTCATCTTAGAATGTCTTACTGCAAAATAATGATGTTAAGATTGTCCACATAGCTGCATGTATAAAGAAACAACATATGCATGTGTCTGTAATCTTACTAACTGAAACAAAAGCCTACTACTACACAGCAAATGTTATATTTAGTAGTTTTTAGTTCTTGTTTCTCTTTCCATCATTGAAGCAGTTGTTCATCAGAGTCTGAATTCACTCACTTGCTTTCATTCTCTCTGTCAGGTGGACTATATTAGTAAACTCATGTAGGGAATAGTGAATGAGGGTGTAGGGTGTGATTTGGGACACAGTCGCTGAGTGTTGAGTGTCGACTCTGAACGCTGATTATTCACAGTATATTACAAAATTCTGAGTGTTCATTATGTGGCCCAAGCACTTGCTGCAGTGCTGTACAGTGCTACTGATTGATTGACTTCAATTATAATGAATTGTTCCCCCTAGTCCTAAAAGCGGAGCAGAATTCAGGAACAGATATTTAATGATTAATTCAAAGTCTAACTTTCTAAAAACATACATAATGACCAACTCACACAAACAATGATCTTGCTAATATTATTGAAGATTCAATATGTAAACTCTAACATTATAAACCAATGTCTATAAAAGAAATAAAAAAAAAAAAACAGTATTTGACACTATACAGAAACGATTGCTACACACCTTACTTTGCATGCAGATCTAACCCTCCATAACCTCCAGCAAGTGCTTAGTGACATTTAACAGCAGAGTAAGGTTGCACGGTAAAAAATAACTAAATAAATAAATAAAAATAACTAAATAAACATGATTATATATACTTCCAGCCACGGCCTTAGATGAATTCAACTGACATAAAATAAGACATTAAATCTCTCAAGATCTGATTAAACAACTCCACAAACAGCAGCAGCAGCTTCACTCATTACTAACTTTATCTCTGTCAGACGTCTAGAGAAGCTCTTATTGAGAATTAACAGAGGTTTAGATCTTGATGCTTGATGTTTTATTGAAAAAGGGCTAATGTAATGAATACAGTAAAACTACACATCACATGTACTGCATGCACACACACACACACACACACACACACGCACATATATATATATATATATATATATATATATATATTAGACAATGAATGCACTATAAATAATAGCTGCACTGTCAATGCCAGCAGGCTGTCATAGGAAAGTCACTAGGTAAACTGCATGTGTTCTTCAAACACACCTTCCATTGTTGGCCTCTGGTAACTTTCACTTTCATGTTTCATGACTCACTCTTGTTTACTTCCTCATACAAATTGTGCATGGTGATTTGGTCAAAAGCTCTTTGTGCTCAAGTGAAAAGCCTTGTGAAAAAAGAAGCTCATTTAGTTGTATGTACTAGATCAGGGGTGTTAACTGCCCGAGAATCATGGGTCTTCTAAATAAATAACCACAGAAAAGGACAGTTTCAAAAAACAAATTCATCTTAGAATGTCTTACTGCAAAATAATGATGTTAAGATTGTCCACATAGCTGCATGTATAAAGAAACAACATATGCATGTGTCTGTAATCTTACTAACTGAAACAAAAGCCTACTACTACACAGCAAATGTTATATTTAGTAGTTTTTAGTTCTTGTTTCTCTTTCCATCATTGAAGCAGTTGTTCATCAGAGTCTGAATTCACTCACTTGCTTTCATTCTCTCTGTCAGGTGGACTATATTAGTAAACTCATGTAGGGAATAGTGAATGAGGGTGTAGGGTGTGATTTGGGACACAGTCGCTGAGTGTTGAGTGTCGACTCTGAACGCTGATTATTCACAGTATATTACAGTAGGCTACTTTCTCTAAAATGACAAATATTACTCAGATTTTAACAGCATTACTTACATATGTATGTCACTGTCTGCCAGAATCTCCATTTTTTATATAATACATATGTTAATGTTAAAACGCCAAATATCTTTAACATTTTTATCATGAATGTCTTTCTCTGAGTCTTCTTGAACATCTCAATGGTGTAGCATCCTTTGTTATTTATCTCAACTATTGTGTTGTTGATTTTCTCCAGCAGTTCATTGACTTGAGCTTGATCGTTGTTCTCCACATTATTGAAGGCATGATACCGTCCCTCATAATCAGCCACTAACTTCTGCAGCTCTGGGTTTTCCTGCAGAAGTTCTTCTAAAGGTTTGTTTAATTGATCAGCTCCTGTGAACAACAGCATGGCGAATCTCTTAACATCTTCACCAAAGTTCTCCTGAATCCACTTGACTGTGTTTTTCTCTTCCTCTGTGAATCTCCCGAGTCTGATGACCAGCAGAAACACATGAGGACCAGGAGCAGACATCTGCAAACTCTTCTCAATCTCAGCCTTCAGCTGTTTTTCAGTCATGGACGTGTGAAACAGTCCAGGTGTGTCGATCACAGAGATGCCATTTGCTCCATTCGTTGTTCTTCTTTGTAAACACTGTCTGGTTGTAGGCCCAGCATAGTTACTCACTCTGAACACATCTCTACCCAGTATAGTGTTTCCTGTTGAACTCTTTCCTGATCTAGTTTTACCCAGCAGAACAATCCTCAGATCTTCTTCCACTGTGAAATAAATAAATAAAATATTACAATAAACTTACCCTTTTCAGTTCACATTTGTATTCATGATATACTCAGCTGAAAACACTGCACTCTCAGAACATACTATCCACTTTATTCTACAACACAGAAGTCAGTCTTTTCTTTGAATGCGCGAGACGTCATATCCATTAGCCACTATATGTAAAAAAACTGGAAGAACAACAAAGTGCAGCAAACAGCAAAACTATTTGTGCTAACAGACCAGTGTGCTTATGATTACAAAAATAAATTAAAATAACTTAAGTAACATCAATGCAATGCTGAGAATAGGAACAGGCAGGCAGAGACGGGGATCTATGTGCAAGGAGTAGTTTGATGAAAACGAAACCAGCACACAGAAAGGCACAATACATCCATTACAAACAACATCTGACAGAAACAACACAAGGACTAAACGGGCAAGCAAGCTAAACAAGACACACCTGGGGAAGAGAATCAAGGAGAAAGAATACAAACAAGAACATAAAACTAGTCATACAATTTAAAAGTCCATGAACACACAGCAAATGACACTGGAAACCTTGCACATTAAAGCTACAACTAACCGCATCACTCTTGCATTAAAAAAATAAGCTGGATAACTGGCCCAATAGCAGTCTGAGTGCTGTGTGTACAGTATGTTAGATTGTAATCAATCTCACTGTAAGACAGGCTATGGAAGGCAAGCCTCTTCCACGATTTTGCTGGCATTTGCTGTAAATAGGCTACTAGTAGTTTCCAGACATATATGATACTTAACAGAAAGTCCTGCACATCGCAATATATTTTGGCAGAAGAAGAACTGACCATGTAGCTTTAATTATTTCCAGAAGCACTGACTGGAGTAACAATGATGACTTTGCTTCCTGGTGAATCATAAAAATAAACCTTTAAAAACATCATGAGCAAACTTACTTGTTGATGTTGAACGTGTTAATGTCTGGTAAGCTCAGGTTTGTCCACTTGCGATCTGCAGGTCTCAGGTGAGTAAGCGACTGAAATGAGGTGTGTTCGTCTCGAGGTGGCGCTGCGCAGACCGATCAGAGCCTCTCCTCTATAATCGCTCTCGCGCTGCTTCGATGTCAAACACCGATCGTCCTGCGCAGCGCCGCCTCAAGACGAACACACCCGTGACGCATATTAAATAGATGAAGAGCCCTCCTACTCATTTTTGAACTCAAAGACAATTGGAGATTTCAGTTTTGTTTTTTCTTGTAAATCGAGGCTATACTTATAAGACAATACAAAGTTTTCACTTTCCTGTCGAATAACAATATTCTTTAATAGTCTAAATACTGTATAGATCTAATACAAGTAAGTAATTATGTTGCAATGTTCCCAGCAAATAAGGAATACACAGCCCTGTTTATATATTTAAATATAGGGCTATACAGCCATGTAGTGGTTACACCATGGTGCATAATTTAA